GTATATATATATATATATATATATATATATATATATATATATATACTCCCTCCGTCCCACTATATTTGTCCACTTTCATTTTTGCACACCATCCAATGCACTTCTTTAATCCATTTTATCTTGTAATTTATATATTAAAAAATTATAGAAATTATATGTTAATAATCTATATGTTAAGACAAATCAAACAAGATCACACATGACTATATTTAGCCTTACAAATTGAGAGAATTTGATCCGTCAAAGTGCTTAGATGAACAGTTCCAAAAGTCAAAAGTAGACGAGTATAGTGGGACGGAGGTAGTATATATATATATATATGAGGGGGATATGTTAGGGTTTTTAGAGAGAAGGGGAATCAACGGCCACTGGCGGCGACACATTTCCGATGAAGACCGAAGGAGAAGGGGACCTCAACGCCAGTCAAATTCTAGGTATCTACGCTATGGGAATGGACGGCCTTGGCCTTGGCGTCCCTCATACTTTGAATTGTCTCAATTGGCGAATCCACATCGAAGGAGGAGGAGACAAACCTCAGGACCCTTCACCAATGAAGCTGGCCAGGTTTCTTTCTCAATTGAAAGCAAAGATTATGTAGTCTCTTATGATGGGCCGAACATCACAATTTCCGAGTCAAAAGCAGGTAAAACACGCATTCTTTCAGTTTCAAAAACCTTAGCCACGTTGTTGATTGAAATCCTTAGTAGGCCTGATTACTCTAAAGAATCTTGGGAAATAACTTGTTATGATGGTGATTCTTCCCTCAAAGTGTTTTGGGATTCAAATAGGTTTGGGCGATTTGTCAGACTTCATTCATATAAAGCCAGCCCTCACATTTTCATACCTGCCAGTTACAACTTCACTGGACTAAACATTTTTTGCAAGGGTTTATCTCAGCTTCTTAGAACACTAGAAGATAGGAATTTGATGAGTAACCAACAGCCACTTCTAATTGGAACAACTGAAATAGATGGGAATGCTAAAATAGTCAGTGATGAAGGATGGAGATGTGCTCCAAGTGAGAGGGATTGTGGCAGAGAAGAGGAAGAACAGGAGGAATCTGTGAATAGGATCTCCACCGATTCAGCACTGAAATTAGAGTGGGAAAGTACTCCAAGACAATCCACAGATGCAGTATTAGACCGGGAGAGTATCAAGCAGTTTGATTAAGTCATTAAGGACAACCTCAGCCTCTTCCGGAAATCCACGGCTAAGAAAAAATTCTTTCAAGCTCTAAACAAGGGACAGATTCTCACCTACTCTGGGGAAGTACTTCGGGTTACTAGAGAGACTACAAAGAGCTTTCAATACATAGATGCTGCATTAGTTCAAGGAGCAAAGTATCCGGTCTACCTTGCCTATGCCAATGAAGATATGGATGCCGTTCTTAATCACCTATGCGGAGTGCAGGAATGAATAAACTCTCAAACTGGGCAAGGATTTATCTAATCCATCTTTTATCAGCTTATTTGGGATTTTCTTAGCTCTCATCATATTATGGTTATCATTCATGCATCTATTTTATTCCTAGGTTCTATTCTTAACTTAATCCCCCCTGTGTGGGTTTTGGCATATGATATTTTACCCTGCAAACCATATGAACACGGAAAGGTCAGATACTTTTTTAGTTTTGAAGTAATGCACTAGGCTGGGATGCTATCAAAGAGTTGTCTTGCTGGTCAAAGATACTTTGGGGTTCTCTCTACAGTAGGGGATTTTGAGTTATATGCTTAATGGATGGCAAGCATCTAGTCCAAGAAATTGAAGGTTGACATATCTCTTGGGTATTAGGCTGAAATCACAATTTCTTTTTTTCTTTTCTCGTGATGGGAAGTTGTACAATGGGACTATCACTCTTGCTGGCCCCTCTGGACTTACTGGACGAAAGGCAGGACTACTCACATGGACTTGCTTGTAGTTTAGCAATAATTTAAATAGAAGGCAATGTGAGTCTCCGAAATTCAAGATGGGCTCCGGATTGGTATTCGGGCAGACCTTGTTAGCCCTTACTCTGTGTCCTTTTGTTTTGTTTGGGTTTGGTTTGCTTTACATTGATGTTTTCTCTCCTGCTTTGGGACTGCTTGTAGGGACCTGTCCCATCCCAACCTTTGTACTTTTTCCTTCTCATTTTCAATAAAAATTCTCCTTAATATATATATATATATGGTTTTAGAGAGAGGTTGGAGAGCTCCTCCGCCGGTGACGATCTTGTACCCAGGACATTTCTCAGCACCGCCATTCAAAAAGAAGCTACAAGGTCCTAGCCCTGATCACCCCTCTTCATCTTCCGCTAAGCACGCTCTCAACGAAGTCGCAACCCTACCCCGGTCAGTCATCCATTAAGTCAGATCAGAATCTGATGGAATTCTCCACCTCCACCCTACGCCGGTCATTGTGGACCTGGGAATTCAAAATCCTTTATCAGAGATGCAAGAGAGAGATACACCTGCAGATCCTTTGAAGTTCAGAATTGAAGGTAAGATTTTCTCTTTGTCTCTCTCGAGATTCAACAAGAAACTATGCATTACTAAATTTCATGGGAAGAAACGATTCAATATCTGGTTGGGCTTAGATCTCTGCTCCTGGCTACTAGAATCCCTAAATCAATTTACCCAAGGATCTTTAAATTCAGTGGCTAAGAGGGAACAGAGTAGATCCATTTTTTTAGTTTCCATTCTCATAGAACCAGGAACTTCATTAAGCTATGTGAGCATCATAGAGATGGCAGGACCTGGATCTTCATCCCCAAAGCAACCAAGGCAACGGAATCAACTCTTTCACCCACTGCTTCAAAAGAGACTATGACATTCTTAAATCTTCCACCCCCCCTGCCCCAACCTTTCACAGATATGGCCATTATCTGCTCTCAGAAATCACTGCCCTCACAATCCCAAGCTCCTTCTATTTCTCAGAGCCTTCTCAGCTTGGAGATTTGATACGGAAGAAAGCCAGGCAGCCCAGGATCACCATGCAGCCCATATTCGTCCAGCAACTTCGGGCCGTCCGCGTAAGAAGGTCGGGCCGCCCCGACGTTATCAAGATTATGTTTAAACGTTTCTTTTTAATAATAATTATTGTAACGTAGATTTTCGTAGGTGAGCGAATTATAAGCTCCTTCGAGGGTTTCTTTTCGGTTCTTTACCTCGATGCCTTTTTTGAACCGACAGGTTAGATAACTTAGTAATTAGGGTTTTAACCCCTACACAATAATATTTATACCCTTCCATTTGGGAAAGATGCATTCGTTATTATTATGAGGTTGAAGAGGGGTTGGAGAAGAGAAGAAAAGGATTGGGATTTTTCCCAACGACGGAGAGAGGGAGATCGGAGTCGCACGGCCAAAATCAGTGGACCGGCGGTGGTGTTAGGGTTTCACAACTAAACCCTTATCAACTGGTGCTTTCATCTGTGAACTCCATGGCCAGCTCCGATTCAGGTCACCCTCACCTTACGCTGGAAGATATCATGCATGCTATCGGCGAACTAGGCAAGGATTTGCATGCGACAAAAACCCGTGTCGCTGAATTAGTGATGGCACGGCATCTGGTGACGGCTGAGTCATCTCGTCTGCCGTATCAGGCTACTCCCGGGTGGCGTCCTCCCCCATCTCGGACTACTCCTCCCACGCTGGATCCGGCTCCTATGATGCGTGTTGATGCTCCACGGTTTTCTGGCGACGATTCGACGTGGTGGATTTTTCGCGTCTAGAAATATTTTGATTACTTTCTTACTCCCTAACCCGAACGGTGGCACTTAGTAGCTATATTGATTGACCACCCTGCGTCGGAATGGTTTCACTACTATCAGGCCAATAAACCCGCATCCACTTGGCCGGAATTTTTGGAGGCGGTTCAACAATGGTTTGACCCTACGTATTATGAGAATTACGTGGGCTTATTATCTAAACTCACACAAAGTACATCCGTGCTTGCCTACCAGACGGAATTTGAGACGTTACTCAACAAGGTTTCGGGGGTGCCCGAGTCCACCTTGGTGGCCATGTACATCGCCAGTCTGAAGCAACCCCTGCAGCGCGAGGTTAATCTTCGCAACCTTACTACTCTACCCATCACATTTGCCTTAGCACGAGAACTCGCGGCATGCCACTTTGATGCGGCTGGTTCATCCGGCAGAGATGGCCGCCGGCCCTGGCAGTCTCGACCACCAGCCCCCAACATCTGTGGGTCTTTTGCCCACGCCGCCCCTCACTGGCAAGGGCCCACCGACAGCTTCTCCGGGTCGTGTCTCCGACTCAGCCTCGAAGCTACCCATTGTGTGTTTGACAAACGCCGAAAAGAATGAATGTAACAAGAAGGGTTTGTGTTGGTACTGTGATGAAAAGTGGACGCCCGACCATAATTGCAAGCACTGCTTCCTTTTGTTGATGGGCCCCGACGACGACAAGGAGCGGCCATTGGAGGACGACAATCTGGTGGATGAAGAGGACACAATTACAGGTGACATATCCAGTCTCCACTCCTTGGCTGCAAATTCACACCCTAGGGCTCTAAAACTGGCCGGTTCGGTAAACGGCTCCTCGGTACAGGTACTTTTGGATAGCGGGAGTACACATAATTTCATACACCCCACGGTGGCAGAACGACTCCAGCTTCTTCTTCATCCGGTCACTCCGTTTCGGGTTTATGTCGGTAATGGGGATTCTCTACGGTGTTCATATTGGTGTCCCCAAACCCCACTCTTGTTACAAGGCCATTTGTTTCCCATGGATCTTTACTTGTTGCACATCCACGGCCCCGATGTCGTTTTGGGTATCCAATGGTTGCAGACGCTCGGGCAGGTCTCACACGTCTATGGACAGATTACAATTTCTTTTTCCTAGAACGATGCTACGGTCACTCTTCGCGGTGATTGCCCACAACCACGGGCCGTGTCCTATAGCCAATTGTGCACAATGATGGGTGCCCTGGCTTCGGTGGATTTGTATGAATTGCTGGCAGCGCCGGTGTCATCACCGCCCACCACTGCCGACCTCACTATTCCGGACGATGTTCCCGAAGCAGTCCACTCACTCATACTGGACCACTCTGCGGTTTTTGGGCTCCCCACGGGCCTGCCACCGTCTCGCCCTTGGGACCATCGGATTCATTTGAGTGAAGGTGCGAAGCCAGTCAACGTTCGACCTTATCGATACCCTTATTTTCAGAAGACCGAATTGGAACGTCAAGTCAAAGATATGCTCCAACAGGGTATTATTCGTCCTAGCCACAACCCCTTCTCCTCACCTGTTTTGTTGGTTCGCAAAAAGGATGGGAGTTATCGCTTCTGTGTGGACTACCGGGCATTCAATGCGGCTACCATTCCGAACCATTTTCCTTTTCCGACATGTGATGAACTCTTTGATGAATTAGGGCAGGCGCGCAAATTCACCAAGTTGGACCTCCGGTCCGGGTATCATCAAATATGTATGCACACTGCCGATGTGTTCAAAACTGCCTTCCGCACGCATGACGGGCACTATGAATTCTTGGTCATGCCATTTGGTGTGACAAACGCCCCCTCCACATTTCAAGCAGCCATGAACAACCTATTCCGGGCTCATCTGCGGAAATTCATAATTGTGTTCTTCGATGACATACTCGTGTATAGTCCATCATTGGAATCCCACATCACTCACCTGCGGCTCACCTTGGAGATTTTGGGATCCAATTCCTTTTATGTGAAGATAGGTAAGTGTGATTTTGGGAAAGCCACCATCACGTATTTGGGCCATGTTTTGACAGCCGGCGAGTTACGTGCCGACCCTGACAAAATCACTGCTATGCTCTCCTGGCCGAAACCAAAAACTCTATACAACTCCGGGGCTTCTTGGGGTTGACTGGATACTATCGGCGCTTCATCGCTGGTTATGCAGTTATCGCGGTGCCTCTGACGAATATGTTAAAGAATGATAATTTCCATTGGAATGCAACGGCAGAGGAGAGTTTTTCGTGTTTGAAACGCGCGATGACACGCTTACCCGATCTCCGTCTTCCGGACTTTACACAAACATTTTATGTGGAAGCCGACGCGTCTGACTTCGGCGTAGGGGCGGTATTACTTCAGCAAGGGCACCCACTGGCCTTCTTCAGCAAGAAACTGGGCCCTCGCCAACGCTCAGCTTCCACTTATCACAAAGAGCTCTATGCGATCGTGGCGGCAGTATCTACTTGGCCGCGAATTTGTTATCCGAAGTGATCATCGTAGCCTCAAAGAACTCCTTTTACAGGTTATACAAACTCCGGATCAGCAATTTTACGTCCGCAAATTGATGGGTTTCAAATTTCGGATAGAGTATAAAACTGGGGCAACCAATCGGGTGGCGGACGCCCTATCAAGGCGCGATGAAGAGGAGACAGTGAGCTCGTTCATGGCAATAGCACAACCACTGCCCTCCTTGCTTGACGATCTTCGTGCCGAAAACAGTACCCTCCCCGACCTTAAAGCACTCCATGCGGCAGTGGCAGGGGGTTCGGCTCCTCCCCACGTCCAGGTTGTTGACAACCTCCTCTATTACAAGCAGCGTCTCTACATCAGTAAGGACTCCCCATTACGAGAAAAAATATTATACGAGTTCCATAGCTCCCCCGTGGCCGGCCATCAAGGAGTGGACCGTACATTCCATCGCATTGCCGCTGTTTTCTTTTGGCCAAAATTATGGCAAGAAGTGCGCAGTTTTGTGGCCTCGTGTGAAGTTTGTCAAGTCACTAAATACTCTACACAAAAGCCAGCGGGTCTCCTCCAGCCGCTACCAATTCCGGATCGTGTATGGGATTCGGCCTCGATGGATTTTATAACCGGGTTACCCTCTTCCAAAGGCTCAATGGCAATCATGGTTGGGGTAGATCGGCTGAGTAAATATACACATTTTGGGGCTCTGCCGACGGGGTTTGATGCTTTCCGGGTAGCACGGCTCTTCATCGATATTGTGGTCAAGCATCATGGTTTTCCCCAGTCGATTATCTCGAATCGGGACTCCATTTTTATGAGTACATTTTGGAAGGAATCGATGCGCTGGAGTGGTACAACGCTACATTTCTCTACGGCATACCACCCCTAGACAGACGGCCAGACTGAGGTCCTGAACCGCGGCCTTGAACAGTACCTCCGTGCATTCACTCACGAACGACCGGCCAAGTGGGTGGTATTTCTTCCTTGGGCAGAATTAGCACTTAATTGCAGCTTTCATGAGGGTCTAGGGACCTCGCCTTTCCGCGCCTTATATGGCCGAGACCCACCAGCGTTGTTCCCCACGCTCTCTGTCCGTGCCAAATCATGGGAGGTCGAGGAAATCTTGAAGGAATGGGCTGATTTATTGACTGATCTCAAGCTTAATCTACGCAAGATGCAACAGCGCATGCGCGACTGAGTTAATCAGCATCGCCGGGAAATTTTGTTTGCCGTCGGAGACTTGGTCCTACTCAAATTGCAACCTTATCGGCAACACTCGGTGGCCCGTCCTCTCTCTACCAAGCTCGGTCGTTGCTACTACGGGCCATTTCAGGTGTTGGAACGAGTGGGCAAGGTGGCTTATCGCCTACAATTACCGGAAGGGTGCCGGATTCACAATGTTTTTCATGTGTCATTGTTGCGACCTTTCATCCAACGTGAGTCTACCATGCCAATTCCATCCTTGCCAGATTGTTTTTTCAAGGGATGGCCGATTTCAGTACCCCTCACTGCTCTTGAGAGCCGAACAGTGATGGTGGATGGCAAGCCACATGAGTAATGGCTTATTCGATGGGATGATGATCTCCCGGACGCGCTTACATGGGAACCAGCTGAGGCCTTTAAACACCAGTTTCCGAATATCAGCCTTGCGGACAAGACCGTTGTTAACCCCGGGGGAGTTGATACGGAAGAAAGCCAGGCAGCCCAGGATCACCATGCAGCCCATATTCGTCCAGCAACTTCGGGCCGTCCGCGTAGGAAGGTTGGGCCGCCCCGACGTTATCAAGATTATGTTTAAACGTTTCTTTTTAATAATATTTATTGTAACGTAGATTTTTGTAGGTGAGCGAATTATAAGCTCCTTCGAGGGTTTCTTTTTGGTTCTTTACCTCGATGCCTTTTTTGAACCGACAGGTTAGATAACTTAGTAATTAGGGTTTTTTGGGGATGTGTTATTATAAATATGGGAAGGTAAACCCTTTCTACGTAAGCAATAATAATACTCCAACTTCTCCCCAACCTCTTCTCTTCTTTTCCTAACCCTAAAAAGGGTTGCTGCCTCTCTCCCTCTAGCCTCACGCACGGCCAAAATCAGTGGACCGGCGGTGGNAACTTATCTACTATTATTTTTTGTTGAGAAAAATTACCCTCTCAAATAACAACACAACACTCAAAATATTATGAAAGAATAAAATATGTGCAGAAAAATTAAAAGAGCAAGACACAATATTTTTTACGTGGAACCCCTCTCAATTAGGGAAAAACCAGGATCCTTTCGGATTAAACTTTTCACTATAATATCAATTGGAGTACAACAAACACAACACCAAAACAACAATTAATATTCTCTCCACAAACAACTCACCCTATGGCTAGTGCTACATGTCTACACTCACATAGTTTAGAAGAGAGTGTTGCTTCCTTTATATATTAAGAAACACAACACACACAAAGAATAAAATAAACAAGCAAATATACTCCGTACCATAAGATAAGAGATATAAGGGATAAACCAATTCCTTTCAAACAAGGAAGTGGGCCTCCTTCACATGCATGGTTGCAGTATAGTTTTCTATTCTTTGAATTCCCTTTGTATTCTTCTTTTCAGTCTTATCTTATCACCTTTATTTATTTGCTTATTTATTTTATTATATATATTTTATTTTATTTTCTAATTACTAAAAATAAAATAAACTCCAGCATAATTAATATTTGGTAATTGGGGAGATACCTAACAAATCCTCCCTCAACCCAATTGACCAAATACTTCAATCTCGTCTAAAAAACGAACCTTTTTTCCGATCATACATTTTTTAGTCCATGCACCCTCAACATAGCAAAGATTGTTCTCTGCTTTCTTTCCCTCTAACACAAGGTTTGCACCACGGTACACTTTGCACCACTTTCTTGTACCGACATACCTACAACCATGAGTAGTTAGCTCACCTAAAGATATTAAATTTGTTTGAGCCTCCGGAACATACCTCACGTTGTAAAATGTTCTTGTGACACCACTATGAAGTTTTAACGTGACTGTGCCCATGCCCTTTATAAGCATCTTCTGTCCTCCTCCCATGTTGATGTGCCCGTATTCTCCGTCTTAGCAAAGTTTGTCAAAACTAGATACTTCTTTACATATATGAACGGAGGCTGCTGAGTCCAACACCCATTTTTCTTGGCCTTCCTTTAAGTCATCTTGACTTGCTAAGAACAAATCACCATCATCGCTGTCAGCATTTATCACCACATTTGAAGAACCCTCGCCATCTTTCTTCGCCTTTCCCTTTGTCTCTTGAGCCCTTCGAAAAGCTTTCAAGTCATCTCTCATCATCTGGCAACGACTTTGAATATGTCCCCTTTCACCACAATAGTAACACTCCACATTACTTAAATCTCTATTAGGCCTAGATTTGGATCTTTCTCTAGGGGCAAGCACAGCCAGCGCTTTACCAAGCACAGCCAGCGCTTTACCATCATCTGATGAACAAAGATCATCTCGAGACATCATCCTCTCGTTCTCTCTTAGAACCGCCATTGCCTCATCTAGACTAATTTTTGTCCTTCTGACAAGAAGAGTCTGTACTATAGGTCGGTACGTCTTTGGGAGCGATGCTAACAACAGTAGAGCTTGCTCTTGGTCGGATATCTTTTCATCAGCATTTTCAATTGGCATACTAGTTGATTAAAAATGTTGATATGCTCCTACAAAAGTGTACCACTTTCCATTCGTAGTTGATACAACTCCCACCTTAGACAAAGAATATTTGTCAATGATTTTGATGCATATACACTTTGAAGTTTTTCCAACAACTTCCTTGGGTCTGACTCTGTCAAGTAGTTATACTTGATTTCCGGAGCTATTGCGAGACGAATAGCACTTACTGCCTAATAATGCCCATTTGGCATCATCAATGGTTGCGGGCTTCTTCTCCTCCAAAGCATCATCTAAATTTTGTTGAACCAACAAATCTTCAATGGTACTCTTCCATACCATAAAATTCATTTTCCCATCAAACAAAGGAATTTGAAATTTTTGGGAACCATTCGCCAATTTTTTTTTGACACAATATAATTCCCTCACTCACAAAGGTAATTTTCCCTCCCAGACAACTAACCAGGCTCTGATACCAATTGTTGAGAAAAATTACCCTCTCAAATAACAACACAACACTCAAAATATTATGAAAGAATAAAATATGTGCAGAAAAATTAAAAGAGCAAGACACAATATTTTTTACGTGGAACCCCTCTCAATTAGGGAAAAACCAGGATCCTTTCGGATTAAACTTTTCACTATAATATCAATTGGAGTACAACAAACACAACACCAAAACAACAATTGATATTCTCTCCACAAACAACTCACCCTATGGCTAGTGCTACACGTCTACACTCACATAGTTTAGAAGAGAGTGTTGCTTTCTTTATATATTAAGAAACACAACACACACACAAAGAATAAAATAAACAAGCAAATATACTCCGTACCATAAGATAAGAGATATAAGGGATAAACCAATTTCTTTCAAACAAGGAAGTAAGGAAGTGGGCCTCCTTCACATGCATGGTTGCAGTATAGTTTTCTATTCTTTGAATTCCCTTTGTTTTCTTCTTTTCACTCTTATCTTATCACCTTTATTTATTTGCTTATTTATTTTATTATATATATTTTATTTTATTTTCTAATTACTAAAAATAAAATAAACTCCAGCATAATTAATATTTGGTAATTGGGGAGATACCTAACATTTTTAAATGCTGGCACACTGATGGCATGAACAGAAAACTAAGGTGCAAACAATGACACATGTGGAGGACAAACAGATGTTCAAAGAGGCCATTGATGCTAATAAGAAAAGCATCTTTGAGACTTTTCATCTCAAGGTAAAATTAGATTTCTAGAGACAAGTCGTCGTCCTATAAAATATGTTTTTGATATGAGTGCTTTGTATATGTGGTGTCTAAATTGCATGTTTATCTTTTTTAAATTGCTTGTTTATCTTTTTCTCCGTCCCAGAATAAGTTGCCTGTTAATTGTTTTCGTAAATTTTTAAGACTAAAATACCTAAACTACCTCCAAAATAAGTCATTCTTCTCTATATTATCTTCTTATTCATCATGATCCCTTCTAAAAAGTACTGACAATTTCAAAAAATCAACTCTATTTTTTATTTTCTTTAAATATGCTCAAAAGTCAAAACAAATGACTTAAAACGGGATGGAGAGAGTACAAAATATGAAATTTTGTGGCAAAATATAATATGTGGCAACTAAAATTTGACACTAAACATGACCTTTTGTGGCAAAATTTTATTAGTGGCAATTCATAAATTGCCACAAAAACTATTATTTTTGTAGCAAATTTAAATTTGCCACAAATACCTTTTGTAACGGAGTATCTGTGGCAACCTTGTCGCAAATTCTTAAATTACCACAAATTGTTATTGTGGCTAATTGTTTATGTTCTGTGGCAAAATTTGGTGCCACAAAAAGTACAGCTTTTTGTAGTGACATGTACACTATTAATAGGGTCAAACTTTATTAACTTTCAAGCATTCTTTACCTATTATTATTAATTATATGATAAAATAATATAATCATTTAACAATAAAATTAAAATAATAATACTCCGTAATAATAATAATAATAATAATAATAATAATAATAATAATAATAATAATAATAATAATAATAATAATCATAATAATAATAATAATAATAATAATAATAATAATAATAATAATAATAATAATAAAACACTACAAAAAATCTGACTTTTGTGGCACCAAATTTTGCCCCAAATTATCCAAAATTAGCCACAATAACAATTTGTAGCAATTCGAGAATTTGCCAAAAGGTTGCCACAAATACCCCGTTACAAAAGGTATTTGTGGCAAATTTAAATTTGCCACAAAAGTCATGGTTTTTGTGGCAAAATATGATTTGCCACAAATAGGACTTTGCCACAAAAACTCATGTCTAGTAGCTAATTTGAGTTGCCACAAATAATACTTTGCCACAAAAACTCATCTACAGTAGCAAATTTATTTTGCCACAAATTATTCTTTGCTACAAAAACTCATACTTAGTAACGAATATTAATTGCCACCATTTTTACTTTATTTTGGAAAATCCAGTGATATCTTATACGAGTAATTGTGATAAATTAAACTTTCTATGTAATTAATTTTCATATTTTTATTGATAAAGGAAAAAGATTACAACCAAAGCTCAAGCTAAGTCTCCAAAACATGCATAATTGCTACAAAGACCCAAAAAGATGCTAAATCTAGAAATGAAAATCCCCACAAACTAATCCAGTGCATATATATACAATGGCACTAGATAACAAAGTTATGACCTTCTGAATGTTATTCACTTCTCCTTATTCTTCTTAGTCGTCTGCAGTACTATTCTTTTTCTTTTCTTTCCCTTTTTCGAGTCCCGGCTGCTTTCAATTAATATCTCTCTGCATGCAGGTGATTCTAGTTTACTTCACAAAATATTTAAAGAACAAAATATATACAGAAAGTGTACGTTGAGGCATATCATTGAACTAACCTTTTCAAAGACCATTGAGGCATATCTATTGATACCCAATACCACCAAGTCTTTTTGTGGCTTTGGAGGAGTAATAACTTTTCATTGAGCTTCTCGGCTTCTCCTTTTAAATAATAGCTCCTCATTCAAACTTTCACATACTTTCACATATCATATCCACACAAAGTTACAAAGCATAATCAAAGAATGAAGAATAAATATGAAATTTCATACATATAATAAGTGTACTAATAATTAGTTGTGTAGGAAATAATAAGAAAACACTTGGACAAGATTTGAAAATGTAATCATCTCTGAAATTGGTCTGGACAATATTTTTGAGCCTGACACAACTGGAGGAGTTTGTTTCAGGAGCCGAGTGTTCTTCTTATATGACCTCAAATATAATTGTAAAAACATTTATAGTCAACAAACATAACAACACTACAAGTTAAACACAAGCATGCCCCACATATGGATTGAAAAAAGAATCAAACTAATTTTTAATCATAATTGAGAGTCAAATTCATATCGTTTTAGAGAAAATTAGCTAGAAATCTACCCAACTTCTAACACAATGAAAGCTCAATCAAATCTGTCCAAACTGTAACAAATAAACACAATAGTACTAAAATAGACAATTGACATAATATGGGGCATAAACTATGAAGAAATTGAAGAGCAACTCAGATTTGGATTCTATACCTATAAACATCTGTTAGACGTCGGAATTTGATGTATTTGGTGCTGAAACTTTCGTTCAATCAACGCATGAAGTCGTCGGTCTTAGTCCTTCTCTCCTCGCCGATTCCGCTGGATCGATCACTGCCAGAAATTAGAGCCATACGCCGCCGCGGTTCGCCAATTGCCCGCTCGTCCTTGCTTCACACCACCACAAAACTAGGCCGGGGAATACGGTTTGAGACCTTAGGGTTATAGACCCTAGCCCGGCCGCCCCGGCGTCGATTCTTAAACCCCTGCGTCGCTGTCATGATCGAAGAAGGAGGAGGGGGATTGAACTGCCGTGTCTCTGACTCTCGAATCTCGATAGATGTAATGTCCTCAAAATTGTGGACTCCCTATCTATTTCTTATTTGAGTTAATGGGCTTGATCTTAAAAATAAAAGGTAGGTTTAGCTTAAGTCCACTTATTTAGAAATTGTAGCAATCTTATAGAATTGCCACAATAAGTCTAATACTACCTCCGTCCCATTGCCTTTGTCCACTTTTGACTTTTGAAACTGTTCATCTAAGCACTTTGACTCATCAAATTCTCTTAATGTGTAAGCCTAAAAATAGTCATGTGTGATCTTGTTTGATTCGTCTTAACATATAGATTATTAATATATAATTTGTATAATTTTTTAATATACAAATTACAAGATAAAATGAATTAAAGAAGTGCATTGGATGGTGTGCCAAAAGATAAGTGGACAAAGACAGTAGGACGGAGGGAGTATTTTGTAGCAAATTTATAATTGCCACAAACATTTGTAGACTATTTATATATTGTGGCAAATATTAAATTTGCTACTAAAACTTTGCCACAAAAAGTCATATTTTTTGTAGTGTAATAATAATAATACTAATATTCCTTTCGTCCCAGAGTATTTGTCCACTTTCATTTTTGCACACCATCCAATACACTTCTTTAATCCATTTTATCTTGTAATTTGTATATTAAAAAATTATAGAAATTATATATTAATAATCTATATATTAAGACAAATCAAACAAGATCACACATGACTATATTTAGGCTTAGACATTGAGAAAACTTGATGAGTCAAAGTGCTTAGATGAACAATTCCAAAAGACTAATACTGATCTTCTATGACTTTGAGTGGAAGAAAGCGCACTCCTAGGACTCTTGGGAAAATTCACCCAAGTTCGAGTCATAGCAGAGACTCTTTGTGCATCAATAAATTGAGAAATTTGTGAACAGATATTATATTGTAATAAAGTGGATAACTTTCAAAATGATGATGATGATGATGATGATGATGATGATGATGATAATAATAATAATAATAATAATAATAATTTTAATAATAATAATAATAATAATTTTAATAATAATAATAATAATAATAAAATAATACAAAGCAATAATGATATTAGTAATAATAATAATATTCTATTGTTCCAAAATATTTATTTTTGTTTTACTTTTTACAATTAACAAAGATCAACCTCTAGCTAATAATTAAATAAAAATTACATGATATATTAATTAAATAAAATAATAGTTTAGGAATACTTTATAAGCTAAGTATAATAAAATCATCATTGTATCTAGACCTGGCAAAACTGACCCAAGCTCGATAACCTGAACCCAATAATCCGGAATTGAACCTAAATTGACCCGAAAATTGAAGAACCGAATACTCGAAATGATCCAAACTGAACTTAAACTGAACCAGATGTATTCAGACCCGATTTAGATTCAAATTTGATTTAACCCGAATCAATTAAACCCGAACCGGTTATACTCGAAACTGATTAAACATGGAACCGATTAGACCTGAAACCGATTAATCCCAAAATAGATCAAATTTGTTAATATTTCATTTATCAAAAGAACTTGGAAAAAAAGAACCACCGATATATTTTTATACATGTTGATGTGTTTCTTAAAAAACATATTTAAAATATGCGTGCAAATCGTGCAACTACTTTCATGTACAAATTTTTTACTCCATATTTTATAACTTAAGTTAAAGTGTTATTGTATTTTATCATCTTCGAACTTAAAGTTTGACGAACATCATCTCTTCAAAAATATTGGCAAATGTTATTAAAAATAATACATTTAAAGTGTTTTTCGATACCAACAATTTGGTAATAACTTTTACTCTATACATTTTAATTCATTATATATTTTTATATATAGTTATTCAAATATTTGACACACAAAGTAAAATCAATAGTCAAATAGAAATAGAGAAAGTACGAAGTAGAATGTTAACTAAAAAGGTCGCGCCGAAAACTTTAGAATGTAAACAATTAGTCAATTATGTAATTGTTACTCCTTCCGTCCCTCATAGATTTTCTCAATAGCCCTTTTTCTTTGTCCACAATAGATATTCTCATTTCATTTTTTAACAATTAAAATACCACAACTACCCCCAGTTACTTTATTTATTACACTTCACCCACCTCATTTAATACAGTCCACCCATTTTTCATCAAGGGTATTATAGTAAACTTTCACCTTTTTTCAACTCTCCTTAAAAACCACCAAAAGCCAAAATGAGAACATCTTAGGGGGACGGAGGAAGTATTTTTTTATATACGTCCGTGTTAAATAATAAAATAAGTACGAAGTATGTCATAAGTTGACTAAATTTATTATGTGATACTATTGATTTATTAGTATATAATTAAAAATACCTGAACTAATATATGCCTAAACCGATACAAACCTGAATCGATATAAACTCAAACCGATACAAACTCGAAACAATATAAACCTGATCCGATATAATCCAAACCGATACAAACCTGAACTAAAAATCAAAATGAAACAAAAAAAACCAGTCAAACCGAAATAAACCCAAAACTGAACTAACCCGAACCAAACTGACCCGAACCCATTATAACATACTCTGGAGTATATCCGAAAGAGACCCAAACTGAAAGATCTAAACCAGAACCGAATCAATTGACCTAATTGCTAGGTGTAATTGTATCAATATCTAATATAAATTATTTTCAATTAATCATCAAAATTTATTAATTCTAATTTCAAAAAATCAAAATTGGAAAAATGCTTTGAACTGGAAAATGCACTTATTTAACAAAAATTTTTTAAATTATTAATGAAAAACTTAGAATGAGTTCAATAAACTAAATAGAGTTGGTAAAAATTTCATAAGGTTAGAAGAAACTAAAAGTTTAAAATAATGGAGAAAGGAGTTCACATATACTACTCTCTGAGAGTAAAAAAATATGTTACTCCCTCCGTCCCAAATTATAATGCATGTTCACTATTTAGATGGTCAAACTTTATTCACTTTTTTTCTCTATTTTCGTTAGCAATTTGATACCGTAGTAAAAAAATATTATTATCACTACTAGTGTTGTAGATCTTTTGATGTAATTTTTATTTTTTAACTCTATACCATTTGTCATATAAAATAATTTGAAAACAATTTTAATTAAACATTGTAAACCAAAACAGGCACTATAAATTGAGACGGAATGAGTAATACTCCCTCCGTCCTAAAACTTTCTTTTCACTTCCTCTTTTTCACCGTCCTAAAACTACCTTCCCATTAGAAAAAAAGATGGAAAATGACATTAATACCATCATGTATTTACACCAATTATCTTCTAACTCTATATTTTGAATAATTGTAAAAAAAATATCAAAAAATCTTTTTTAAGGAGGTTAAAATTTGAAGTCAAAGCCAAAAATTAAAAATGGAGAAAAGTCAAACTGTGAAAAAAGAATTAGGACGAAGGAAGTATTTATATCAAAAGAACAAAACCTTGGAACATATATTTCAACCCATCTTTTACATTGATCGAGTACTATTTTAGTAACATAAAAAGCAGCTTGAAGTTTTTAGTACTAAAGAATCAAGGACTTAGTTCTCATGACATTGATTTCCAATGTCATGGGAAGAGCCAAGGGTGCTCTGGTGCCCCGTTTGTAAAATTGACAATTCTTACCCAAGGAATAGGAATGATCAATTTAACAAACGAGGCACCTGAGCACCATTAGGTCATCTCATGACATTAGTTTTCTAATGTCATAGGAACCAATCCCAAGAATCAATCATATAAAGCATGTCTGCACGATAATATAGCAAGAAAAAGAACACTGTCATGTTTTTTCTAGGGTTTTCTTTAGCATCCTATCCTTTCTCAAGGACATTAAAAATTGCAAGAAATATTAGAGACTTGGAATGTGTGAAGGGTTCATCAGGAGTTATCAACATAAAGTTGGGAGAGAATATCATGAAAAAAGAGAGAAAACAGAGTACATAATCTCAAAACTAGAAACCAGTAAGGGACAATACACCACCCGAGCCCCACATTGTGTCACAACTGGCAACCCTTGCAAAAAGACAATAGCAGAGCTACAGGATCTGAGCAGCAGTGTTCAACTTATCTGCCAAGCTAAGGTGTGTGCTAGTGATGCTTGATAAATATAGCAAGAGCAATTGATCCTGATAAAAGAATAAAGATATACTTACGAAATGCAACGACAAGTGATGTTAAGGCATCAAAATAAACAATGGGAACTTATTTTGGTATGGAACAAGTTTAAAAGACAATACACATGTATCCACTTATTTACTTATTCACGAAGTTCAGGGAAAGGTGAAATTATGTGATCGAGTTACATGACGATAAATAATTTGAGTCGCAATATTCTTCTAAAAGAGAATGGGAACTTATTTTGGTATGGACCAGAAGGAAATTGAGAACTTTTGTGAGATAAGAGGAATATATAATTTCTCTAAGCAATAAATTCTTGTGTTTTGGAATTTTAACTTGTGCATTCAAAGAGTTTTACAACTATCAACAATGGTAATAGGGTTTTAAATATTACAAACCTGAAGGCCGTCATTGACAAGCTTATCAAATTCTGGCAGTGATAGTTTAGGAATAGCATTTACGGTCTCAGACAAAAGTCTTCCCAAACTAGTGTCAGGTGAAATACGTCCTTCCTAAAAGGGACGAAGAAAAATGACATATTAAGCTTTAAACTGTGCTATGAATTTTCAACAAATAGACCAGACGATATACTTACCACAACATCATCAACATATTTGTAAACATCACTGATTAGAGCTAGCAATCGCTCTATAGAGGCTTCCATTCCATCTAGGTCATTGGGAAGTTTGTCAACAGATGTCTTCTTCAGCGTATCAACTGGGCATGGAAATAAAACCTAATAAGAATTGTGTGTGTTACAATGATAATAAAGATGTTCTAAAGAACTGTTCACATCCACAATCATAAACAGGAAATTGGAACAGATGTGTGCTTTGGTAATTAGGAAGCAAGAATCTGTGCAATGATCTTCTAATAATCTCAAACATAGCAAGTTACCAGAAATTGTATTTTCTGTATCATTTCTTAAATACATGCTTTTATGCACAGATGTATGGATATTGTATGAGTGTATTAGATGATCTCATGTGAGGAACTATTTAAATGGTTCAATATTCATACATCCAACCCGCTCAGCTTCAATCATACGCAAGTCCAATGGAATTTCATGGAATTGTGCAGCAAGAGGCTGATCCCCAAGTGACAGATTCACAGAAACAAAAGCTTTGATAGTAGCCTCCCCATTTTCGAATCCTGTATCAACAGTCAAATGTACAGGATTGGAGACTTCTCTAGAGTAAAATTCATGGATTAGTGCACTGCCTCCTGAAACTCCAAATCCAGTAGAGAACCTATAAATCCAGAAGATATAGCAACAATTTTGTCAGCAGTTAAATCTCAAACAACCAGCATCTTGACGTTTTTTGAAGAAGAGAACAGTAGAACCTTGGGAAGACACAAACACCAGAAAGAAGAAACATTTGACAAAAGTTTGCCAGAGCTACATAGGAACACTATAAAATATGCGGAACAAAAAACATAGAGAATCACCAGCCAACAATGACTTCCTTTGGGTTCACCTTCTGATGGGATGCCAGCATGTTATGATGGTAATCAATGTCCAAAGCAACCTGAAACACAGTCAATCAAAAACACAGTCAATCAATTCAACTGATAACTTACTCCAATAGTATATTTTGCCAAGTTTCCAACAAATCTTTATCAAACTTTAGATCCAAAACTTTGCCATGTTAGCACGCGTAACATGCATCCATTACCTGGTTCATCTCTTGGAATCATATCAAATGAACTGAGAAAACTGTATAAGATGCGAACCTGATCTTGTGACTCACTATGTGGAACGGCATAGGAATTGCGAATATCGACGGAACCGTCGGATAACACTGATCCAAGAAGTGTACCAATTACTCGATCTGCTTGGTCCGGCCGCCGGACATAGCAGTCGCAAATGTTGAATATTACGAGCGGGTGAACCCTAGCGGTGGACGAAGAAGAAGAAACCTGAAGCACCGTATGATCCCTGTACGCCATTGTCGACGGCCGTTTTGCTCTCACAAAATCTTAAGGGCAGGGCGAGATAGATAGTACGGGAGGGCTTGGACTTGCTAGGGTTTTGTAGATCGACGGTTTGGCAATGTCTAGGGCGGATGCGGGCAACAAATCTTTATTAGACATCAGATTAGGGATATGGTTTGATTTAGGCTAATCAAGACTATGGGTCCGTTCCGTAAGACTTTTTTTTCCTTATTACTTATTCTTATTAAAATTAGATCAGATCAGATCAGATCAGACCTAATCAAATCAGATCAGACTCAATCATATCAAATCAGACTCAATAAGATCAGATCAGATCCAATCAGATCAGACCAGATCCAATCAGATAAGACCAGATTCAATCAGATCAGATCCAATCAGATCAGACCAGATCCAATAAGATCAGATCAGACCAGATCAAATCTTATAATATTAAATCAAGAAAAAATATAAAAGATAATATTTATATTTTTCAAGGACTAAATAATAATTACTATTATTTGATTAAATCGTATTACTTTATTTAAAACTACACACACCTAAATCTTAATTAATATTATAATTTTAAATATTATTGTTGTAATGTTGTTGTTATTATTATTATTATTATTATTATTATTACTATTATTATTATTATTATTATTATTATTATTATATTTCAACTACAAACCATTATTTTATATAAATGTTTAGCTTGTAGGATAGAAATGATGCATGGAAGCAATGTTAAAGCTTAACAAGTTTTATTTTTCATACCTTAAAAAGAGTTATTTTAAAATACTTATTTATAAAATAATTATACAAAACTTAGTTTTCAAAACTATAAATATTTTATACTTAAAAAGACTTGCTTTTAAAATTTTAAGATGGTGTTATACTCAAGGGCGAGTTTATGACAAAATTGATAGAGGTGAAAGCGATAGCAGTGTTTAAAAAGTTTAAACATATTAATGATTAGCTGATTTTCTTATTTTAATTTTTTTTATGTATATATATATATATATGAATTGTAATACTTTAAAACTATTAAATTTTGTAATAATTTTAAGTTTAATTTAAATCAAATTTAAATTCATTTACACCGGATCTAATTAGAGAAAATCAGATCTAATCAGATCAGATCTAATCAGATCATATCAGATTCATTCAGATCAGATCAGACCCAATCAGATCAGATCAGACCCAATCAGATCAGATCAGACCCAATCAGATTAGATCAGACTCAATCAGATCAGATTAGATCAAATCAGATCCAATCAGATCAGATCAGATCTAATGAGATCAGATCTAATCAGATCAGATCAGACCCAATCAGATCAGATCAAATCAAAACTTCAAAAATTCAGATCAGAATCAATCAGATCAGGCGTATGGAAGAGAGCCTAAAGCCCCGTTCCGTTCAACTTATTTTTTTCTTATTTTTTCTTATTTTTATTAAAATTAGATTAGATTAAATCAGATCAGATCAGATCAGATTGATTCAGATCAGTATAAATTAGATCAGATCAGATCCAATCAGATCAGATCAGATCCAATCAGATCAAATCAGATCAAATCAGATTAGATCAGGACTTATTAAAATCAGATCCCACCAAGAATTATTATTATTATTATTATTATTATTATTATTATTATTGTTATTATTATTATTATCATCATCATCATCATCATCATCATCATCATCATCATCATTATCATCATCATTATTGTTATTATTATTCTTAAAATTGAAAAAGAATAAACTTTAGAAATGGGTTAAATAGAAAACTGAGAAAGTAATCCTTAATTATTAGACGTCAAAAATATTAGTTTTAAAATACATTGACAATGTCAATCTAATTCTACTTTTAAAATATATTTTTATTGCAACTTGTTATTTGAGTTTCTAAACTTTTGATCTTTTATAAGGATGAGATATTTTAATAAAAATACTATCTCTTATATATATTGATTATGTAAATTTAAGTACTTTTTAATGTATATCTAAATTAAATATTTATTCTAATGTATATAATTCTAATTTCACAAAAAATAATCATAAAATAAAAAATATTATTACATTATAATATGAATGATTATTCTAAAATATGAATTAACTATTTTTATTTTATTAAAAAATAATCATTAAATAAAAAATATTGATTATTTTATAATATGAATTATCATTACAATTTTTAAAACGTTATTATAAAGTCAAATTAAATTATTTATTTGAAATTTTAAATTAAATCATAATTAATGAGATCAGATCAGACCAGATCAGATCAAATCCAATCACATCAGATCAGATCCAATCAGATAAGATCAGATCCAATCAGATTAGATCAGATCAGATCCAATCAGATCAGATCAGACTAGAACTTATTAGAATCAGATCAGATCAGAAAAAATAAGTTGAACGGAACTGAGCCCAATTCCAATAAAGAAGAATAAGGGGTTGTTTGGGAGTGAATAAGTTGTAGATAAAGTAGTTTTCACAAAAGTTGAAAGTAAAAGTACCTCATAGCTGTTTCTTTTAAATATTGTTCTATATATAAAATAGTGGTGGTAAAAAACAGAACCTGACATGACAAACAGAGTAAAATCACTTCCACTTAAAGCAGAAGCTAAATTGTTAAAAGCAGCGCACTCTCAAACACCCTATAAGTAATACTCCCTCCACCCACCTAAGATCTTCCCATTACGCGTTACGAGGCTTGATCGACTTTATTTTCAATTTAATTTAATTCATTATTGGAGTAAATTTATAAAATAAAATTTATATAGTATTAAATTACATGAAAAATTCTACTAAACTAGAGGTGACAAGATTATTTTATTTTACGAAATGACTAGTAAAAATGAGCAAACAAAGTGAGTAAAGTTTGACCTTGTGAATAGTGTCTGAGAAGATCTATGGTGGACAGGGGGAGTAAGTAAAAAACGTATGGAAAAACATGGACTTAGTACTAGAGTAGCATTCATGTTCAACATAATTTTTCTACTCATTACTTATTTATATTAAAATCAAATGAGATTAGATATAATCAGATCAGGTCTAATCAAATTAGATTAAAACAAAACTATTATTATTACTACTATTACTATTGATGGGTATAAACCCATTGATTCCACCAAGTAGATTTGCTACGAGCCGGGAGGTACCTATGTTTGATGCTTCAAGACTTGGTCATCCCGGGTAGTATGACTGGTAAGGTTTGGAAGCATTAAGAATTTAGAGCAAGACTTCGTCCGACGAAGACACGCAGACTTACCGGTTGAAGATTAACCGGTCGAAAGAACAGTAATGTTGAGACGTGCTCGACGTGCTTGTTTATTCGTATAAATTGGAGTAAAAGCCTCATTAGAAAGGCATGCTTTAATTAATCCACACAACTTGTAAGTTTGTAAACAGTATTATTATTATTATTAATAAACCGGGTTACAGGTATTCCCACCTACAGCCCTTCACCTTATTCGTACTAAGTATTTGTGTGGTTTTACACCATCAAATTAGCGCCACCAGTGGGACCCCTTTACAACAAAGCCATGACAAACAACTTAGAACCAGTTATTTCCCAGATCTCCCCCTGGCGGAGAGCATTACTCTACTCTCGGGGGAAGTACACTACCCCGACCCATCACACCTATTCCTGCTCCCATAATCACCATCCCAACACCTGCCCCATTCCCAATTCTGATGTACTCCATCCCGGGTTTCGCCCCCAAACTTCCCTTGGCCCATGGACCTCATGTACTCTGAGGCACTCCAAAACTTTGGACAATTCATGTCCATGTTTCAACAACCAGGAAGATTTGCCCCCTTTATCCCAAGAATGTATCCACACGCCCTGCCTCAAAGTTCACCCTTTCCAAATGTGACACGGTAGCCATCACCATTCCAACCAATCAGCGTTATGCAGTCGGTCATCCCAACAAATCTAGTCGGGGAGATGGGTAAGGCAGGCCCGTCAGTAGTCGATCCCGAAGGTCTCACACCCAGGTCACGCTGATGGGGACGTACGTTCGGTCCATAGAAAGGACAAGGACTGGGATGTACCAAGAGCCTAGAAAAAATTGAAAGGCAAGGCCGTCCAACCTGAAGGCTCTAGGCAGTCAGCATTCCAAAGGTTGGGACATGAGGGGAGGAATCAGAACTGGTCGGCCAAGGAGCGGCTGGGGGTTGAGACCATTCAAGTTAGCGCATTTGACTAGTTGGGGGAGGCAGCAGACGACCTGGTCAGACCAAGCGATCCGAACCTCGTCCTGAAGATGAGCCTCAACACAGTTGAGCGCCCCGAGAAGTAGAGGAAACGGAAAGTCACAGGTTTGCACGAACATTGAGCAACTTAGGGACCATGTGGATCGGGTAGAAGCCCGATTGGAGAAGTTGCAGAGGTGGGTAGACAAGGATGAAAAGAAGAAGGAGTTGCTAACAAGATCACCGTTTATAGACCGGGTGCATGAGACCTCGTTCCCAAGGAAGGCCAAACTCGAGGTGCTGAAGTTCACCGATAAGCAAGATCCGGAAATCCACATCAAAACTCTCTACCAGAGTTGAAGGATGATGGGATTCATCGAGGACGAAAAATGTCTACTTTTCTTCCAAACCCTCCGCAGCCGAGCCGCTGAGTGGTTTCACAATCTTCCCCCGGGTGAGATCAACTCCTTTGACGAGTTGGCAGAGGCTTGCAAGAAAAAAATTCAAGGAGAACTGTACCAAGATGAAAAAGTTTACCTACTTGAGTACGGCCGGCAGAGGGAGAATGAAGATCAAACCAAATTCCTAACCTGGTGAAAGAACGAGGTGGACAAGGTCGAGGAGATGGACAATAAAACGGCCATGTCCCTCCTAGTCTCTAGGCTCTGGCCTGGAGAATTGTACAAGGAGTTTTGTAAGAGGCCTCCTCAGTCTTAACAAGAGGCCTATAACACTACTTGGGACTATGCGAACGCCGAAGCCCAGGTCCTGTCCAAAAGGGAGGCAGAGCAAGGCCTCTAGAAGGAAAAGAATTTGATGAAAAGGAATTGGATTTACCAGGCAGGGTAAAGGCTAAAGTATTGGACGTGAAGATAGAGAAGATGGAGAAGAAACCAACCAGGGAGAAGCAGTGGACGGAAAAATACTAGTCTTTTTACAAGACAAATGTTAGACAAGGCGTGCAACTCTTGAGGGGGGGTGAATAGAGTTGTTGAGAATGTTTACCGATTTTCGCAGGATTAAAAATATAAACATAAGTGCAGCGAAAATAAAATAGAGAAGGCAAAGAACACACCGATGTATACTGGTTCACCACCTCGTGGCTAGTCCAGTTCCCCGAGAGACTCTCTCGAAGCTACCAGTACTTCCAATAAGCTTACGGGTGCTTAACAAACCGTTTACAACTCGAGAACTTGAATCCCACAAGCCTCGACACAACTGCTCGTAGATATACCCTTTACAAGACTTCACAACCAAGACATAAATCACATAAGCCTTGAACAACAAGAAGAACAATCTTCTTCAAATTCTCAACAATAGTTCTCAAAAGAGTAGATAAGAGAAATGATTAAAGCTCTAATGGATGACAAAACACTCTCTTAAAAACAAAAAGTTTTCTCTCAAAATAATATAAATTTGAGGAAAGATTGATGGAGGATTAACACCTCAAGAGTGGGGAGTATTGGAATGTTTCTTGTTCTTAAAAAAGACCAAGGAAGAGAGTTTATATAGAGTAAAAAGAAATAAATCCGTTGGGAGTAGGGAAGGCTGATTTTGACAGATTGGAGCGTTGGGGATCGATCCAAGGCAAAAGATCGATCACTTGGAGTAAACTTCCGAAAATAAATTTGTGTCAAAAGCACGGGGGATCGATCCAAGGCAAAGGATCAATCCAAAGGAGTTAAAAAATTTGGGAAACGAAAGAAATAAGTGACGGGGGATCGATCCAAACAGATTGATCGATCCTCCGAAGAAAAAGTCCCAAAATATGTGATCGATCTAATGTGGAGATCGATCCAATCCCCCTGGGTTCTCACATGACGATCGATCCACACAAAAGGATCAATCCAGTAGCGAACAAACCCCAAACATGAGGACCCAAAACATGTGTGCGAGTTGAGAGATTATTTTGGAGCTTAATGACTTGTTTTGGACAAGAATTTGAATGTGATAAGGCTCCCAAAAACAAACAAATCAAATGGGTTTAAAAGAATTAATTCAAATTCAAAATTTGAATTAAATAAAGAATTTTGGTAGCATATCCTCCATGTGTTTGTCATTATCAAAAAGGGGGAAATTGTTGGTAGCATATCCTCCATGTGTAGGAGGATAAAAAGGGGGAAATTTTGAATTAAATAAAGAATTTTGGTGTAGAAATTGAGTCCCAAAAATATTTTGTGTGTCAAACGATGTACACGAAAAGTATTTGAATTAAATATTTTTGCTTACCAAAAATATTTTATATTATCAAAATAAATATTTGATAAATGTTTGGCACACTTTTTGTGACTGACTCAATAAACCTATTTTGAACAGTTAAAAAGATTTTTCAACTGACTCCAAAAATAAATATAATTTTTATTTTAACTCTCATAAAAATGATTTTGGAGAGAAGATATTTTTGTCATCCTTACAAATATTTCTACGACTCAAATAAATAAAAAGTCTTCGGAAATCTTCTACTCCTCCGAGTCCTCCGTTAGGCGCTCCGAATGCGTCTCGGACTCCAATAAAATCCTGTGCACCTTTTTGAATACTTCAAGGAATGGCACTTCAAGTCTTCGTGTTTGTCATTGTAGCACTTTGATCTTGACTTGAATAAATTGTGTTTGTCAATTATCAAAACCTGTGAGTCAACACTTAACAACACAGAAAGGGTTGAACTAATGCATTCCAACAATTTCCCCCTTTTTGATAATGACAAACACATGGAGGATATGCTAGCAACAAATTACAAATTAAAGCATATACTCCTATACTCTTCCCCCTTTTGGCATTATCAAAAATAATGCAACAAAAGAACTCAAGCATTCCAGGGAGAGAAAAAAATTCTAAACAATTAAGAAAAATCACATCCCCCCTAGAATCATGCATTTCTAGGAAATAAAATACTTCCCCCTTAAAGTATGCTACCTCCTCTTAAAAAAACTAAAGCATACAAAAAGATTAACACATATAGCAATAAATTCCCCCTTACTATATGCAAAACATCCTATATAAATTCCCCAAATAACAATTATCACAAATAAATCTCAAAAATAACATTTAATTTAAAAAATGTAATCACTCCCCTTTGATGCAATCTCTTTGGCTAAGTGCTTGGAGCATCCATTACAAACTTTGTAGTCTTTAAGCATGCCTTTCAAGTGCTTCACGTGCCCGACCACCCATCTTGTTCTTCAATGCCAATGAGGGAATGATAAGTCCGTTTTGTTCTTATCATTTACATCATATTCTAAACGTTATTGCACACAAATAGTATTTAATCATCTCATAAGATGTGATTTTAATGAATAAAACTCTCATTTTCGTTCTAAGAGTCATAAAATGGGACTCCATATGAAATCATCATAAATCATCCATTTTTGTTCAAGTATTTGAGAAAAAGGGAATAAATCATCAAGGGATCAAGATTCGGGCTTGAACGAGCTTCCGGGAGGTCAAAAACAGTGTTCGGGGCCAAAACAAAGCGAAATTGGGCCAAAATCACGAAACAGCCGCGAAGCCCAACGGACCAAGGCCTCCAGGCGTCCAACTTGGGTGCTTGGCCAAGTTGGACGCTTGAAGTTGGACGCCTGGGCTAGATTGAAATCCAAGAAAGACACGTGGCAAAATCTGGTTGGCCGGAGCAGCTCAAGCGTCCCGATCTGGACGCTTGGACTTGGACGCCTTGGCTTCGTTCCTATAAATACAGCGCGATTCTCCCCATTCAACACATCACATTCACTCCCATTTTCGGGAATTGAGCCTTATATTCCAATTCCGAGTATTAGTTTAGTATTTTAGTAGTTTTGAAGTAATTTTTGGAGGAATTCTATTCTTGATCTATTCAATTCCGCTTGTACGGAAGTTGTAAGTTCTCCTTACTTAATAAAATGTTGTTTTAATTTATGTTTGCAAAGTATGAGTTAGTGTCCGGATCTCTGGGTCCGGACTAGTTTGGTTGTTTTTGATGTTAAATTAATGTTGGAATGGTTAATCTATTGTTCTTGCCTTATCTTGTTAATTAATATCGGAATATTTAATTGGCCATTTATTGAGAGAACATTGTATGCCAAAAGGCTATGATATTCAAGTACAACGGGTTAAGTACAAATCTAGAAATGGATGAGTAGTAATAGAAATATTATTATTCCAATTGTTAATTTAATATGATAAAATGAATCCAAATGATATCCAGACCCTAGGTCCAGATCTATACTTATACTATGTAAACTTAATTATTTTATTATTTTTACTCTGCTCTTTTTATAATCGTTCCGAGAAGACTTTCATAAACCAATCCTAATCTTCGCCTAATTAGAGTAATTAAACTAATTCCCTTCGTCCACTCCTCGAGAGATACGACACTCGGAGAGAAAACTAACCCTTTACTGGGAAGGTTTACTACCCGAAAAACTAAAACTGTCAGGGAATCGTCTTTGGATGGTTGATCATAACTCCACGAAAAATAAGCAAATTCATTTTGTTTGTTCATTTTCTTGAGCTTCGGGCACTCAAGTTTACGGTGGCCAAGCTTTCCGCACGTATGACACCTTGGGGTGTTTTTCCTCTTGCTCTTATTAAGCTCATGTTTCATAAACTCGTTAAAACATTCAACCAAAATATCACAAGAAGTGCTACTATCACTATCACTATTCGAATCCGAATCATCAATCTCTACTTTTTGAGAAGAAGATGCTTTAAAAGCAATTCCCGCTCTCTTCTTAACATCAAGAGTATGAGAAAGATGATTTGTTTCGTAAGTGATAAGGTTACCTCGAAGACCGTCGTATGTGATGACGTTGTAATATCGGCCTTCGTAAATGGAGTTAACCTTTGACTTCCATTCCTTTGTAAGACTTCGCAGGATTTTCCTCACTAACTCCTTGTCAGTGAGCGTCTTTCCAAGCATATCAAGGTCGTGAACGATGTTTGAAAATCTTCCAAACATGTCCTCCACAAGTTCGTTCTCTTTCATAGCAAATAACTCATATTCATGGGTTAGTAAATCAATTTTTGATTCACGAACTTGAGGCGTAACTTCGTATGTGATCATGAGCTTGTTCCACATTTGGTTGGCAGTTTGGCAATGAGATATCTTTTGATAATCGTTGGCATTGACAGCACAATACGAGAAGTTGATGGCAGTGGCATTTAATTGGGCCTTCTTAAAGTCGGCTTCATCATATTCATCCTCGTCCTTCGGGATGAGTGTATCGCCTATCTTCTTAATCGGCAAGCTATCTCCATTCTTGATAGCATGCCAAATTTTGAAGTCGTTTGATTGAATAAAAATCCTCATTCGCTCCTTCCAATAGGAGTAATTTGTTCCATCAAAAAATGGCGGCCTTACGGTGGATTGCCCTTCTCTTATCCCTGCGTTCAACATTCTCAAAAAAATTTGATCGTTTTCTCAAAGGTCACAAAGAGCGTTAGAGATACCTGCTCCGATACCAATTGTTAGACAAGGCGTGCAACTCTAGAGGGGGGTGAATAGAGTTGTTGAGAATGTTTACCGATTTTCGCAAGATTAAAAATATAAACGTATGTGCAGCAAAAATAAAATAGAGAAGGCAAAGAACACACCGATGTATACTGGTTCACCACCTCGTGGCTAGTCCAGTTCCCCGAGAGACTCTCTCGAAGCTACCACTACTTCAGCTAAGCTTACGGGTGCTTAACAAACCGTTTACAACTCGAGAACTTGAATCCCACAAGCCTCGACACAACCGCTCGTAGATATACCCTCTACAAGACTTCACAACCAAGACATAAATCACATAAGCCTTGAACAACAAGAAGAACAATCTTCTTCAACCTTTCAAAATAGCTCTCAAAAGAGTAGATAAGAGAAATGATTAAAGCTCTAATGGATGACAAAACACTCTCTTAAAAACAAAAAGTTTTCTCTCAAAATAATATAAATTTGAGGAAAGATTGATGGAGGATTAACACCTCAAGAGTGGGGAGTATTGGAATGTTTCTTTTTCTTAAAAAAGACCAAGGAAGAGAGTTTATATAGAGTAAAAAGAAATAAATCCGTTGGGAGTAGGGAAGGCTGATTTTGACAGAATGGAGCGTTGGGGATCGATGCACGACAAAAGATCGATCACCTGGAGTAAACTTCCGATAATAAATTTGTGTCAAAAGCACGGGGGATCGATCCAAGGCAAAGGATCGATCCAAAGGAGTTAAAAAATTTGGGAAACGAAAGAAATAAGTGACGGGGGATCGATCCAAACAGATTGATCGATCCTCCGAAGAAAAAGTCCCAAAATATGTGATCGATCTAATGTGGAGATCGATCCAATCCCC